CTTTGGGAAGAGGCGGTGGTCCAGGTGCCTAGGGCTGGGCAGGGGAGGAACTTGGCAGTTGGCACTGGGTGCTCACTACGGCTTCGACCCTGAATTGTGGCATTGTATACTTGAAGTGCTACTAGTTGGGCTCATCATAGGGCGTGGGGGTGATCTAAGAAGGTACCAGGACCTGAGCTTTCCCAAGCGTGCTGGAGTCATTGACCGCAGGAGGATATTTTCTACCGTAGAGATAGAAAGTGTGAGGCTGTAGAGGGGTGGGATGAGAGTGAGCCCAAATTCAGATCATAATTACTTCATTAAATTATTTAGCATGATAAACTCAGGGAAACACGCTTTGGCATCTCAATTTTCTAATCTAAGACACGAGATGGTACTAATATCTACTTTTAGGTTTGATTTGAAGATAAAAGGAGCTAATGCATGAATACCTAGCAATGTGCTGGCTGTGCATTATTAAATGATCGTTTTCTCTCTGCCCGCCTCTATTAGGCACATTTATGCTACCGTAAATCTTCCCTCTCTTTCCAGCCACCACCCCCAAAACTGGTACGTCCTTGGGGATATGGGTTGAGGCTGTATGTTTTGGGCTAGGTCGTGAAAATATCACCACATGTACCAGGACTGAAGTCCTCATTCCTCTTCCTGAGGGCGTTGGTAGCTGACACCCTCAGCTGCGTCCCTTCTACTGAGCTCTTGTCTTAGTGGAGCACAACTGCAGGACTATCCCTGATCCAGGCTCCCAGTAAGCATGGCTGAGGCTTTTGTTGTGACCCAGTCACAGCTAATGTTTTCCTTCTGCCACTCTGGACTCAACTCTCCCACACGTGTGATCCAGAGCACATTATCCAAAAAACTTCCTGTGTACACATCTGCCTCAGAATTTGTTTCTCAGAGTCCTGGCCTTGGTGGAATCTTCCTATACTCTTAGAGTTTAGGTCTAAAATGTCCCCCAAAGCCTCGTGTGTTTGGAAGGTGGTTAGATCAGTGGATTCAACCATTGATGAGTTCAGGAGCTGAATGCTGTTAGGAGGTGGGGCCCCATCGGAGGCAGGTTCCTAGCGGGTGTGACCTGGAAGTACTGTTGTCTCTGGCACTTCCCTTCTCTGCTTCCTGGCTGCCGTGGTTTGAGCAGTTTTCCGCTGCTCTGTCTTGGAACCAGCCAAGCACGAACTGAAACCGTGAGCCGAAACAAACCTCCCTCCTTTATATTGCAGGTGTCGAGTATCTCGTCCTAGGGACAGGAAAGTGGTTAACGCATATGCATTCTGGCATCCCAGCTTTTGTCACATAAGCCTGCATCCTGTATACCGGAGATGGTAGAGAATAGTCTGAAAGGCATGTGGCCTAGATTACAATGTCACACTCTGCTGCTTAAGCAGTGTGAGCTTGCAGAATATCTTCCCAAGAACCTCAGCTTCCTTATTTGTAATAGTATCCCAGGCCGTGACAATTGAGAGAACCTAGGCATGCCCTTAGACTAAAGCCTGGCGCTTGGTGGCAAGCAGCAACCTTGGGTATCAGAGTAGCAGCGGCTGCTAAACACCTCTCCATTTCTCAGTTTTCTCCATTTCTCAGTTTTCTTGGATTCCTTGAAATCACACTGTCCCCATTCACCTACTTTTCTCAACATTTGCCCTCTGTTTGCTGGCTCCTCCTCTTCCTTCATCTTCTATATGTAGACATGCTTTAGGTTCTGTCCCTTTCCTGCTGCCTCTACCTTCTTTTTTCCATTCTCCCTCCCCAGTCTCCACACCACTAGTCAGTGGCCTGCAGGCCCTTGAGTAGCCCTGCAGTGGGCTCAAGTGTCGGTGAAGTGATGCAGGTCCTGAAGAGGATGGGACAACTTGCCATTAGCATGAATCCCTGAAGAAATTCCCCTTAGGCTGCTCCAAGAGTCAGTCTGTCATAGATTTTGAATTGTGTTAGTAATTTTGTTGCAACCTTTTGTTGCCCTTCATCAAGGGCACATGCCTGGTAATGGCTCTATCGTCAAGGCTGGTAGTGCAGAGAAAGCAAGAGGAGGTGGAGAAATGGGAAACTACAGTTTGAGATTCTATGGCAAGAGGCAGGATAAAGGGGTTCTGCAAAATAATGAGGGAAATGTGCCATTATTCTTAGGGCTTTATTTTTAGGTTGCTTTGATAGGGATCTTAAAACTTGGCTCTGTATCACCTTTGGGTCTGTGGTGACGCAGTACGTTATGGTGGGAACACTTGGTGGAGGAGGACTCTTAATTTCATGGTGGCTGGCAAGCAAAGAGATAGAGCAAGAGGTAATGGTCTTGGGTTCCAATGTCCCTTTTAAGGGCATGGCCCCCAGTGACCTCCAAGAGGCCTCACCTCTAAAGGTTTCACCACCTCTGAGTAGTGCCATAGGCTGAGTTCCAAGCTTTCAACACTTAGGCCTCTATGAGACAGTCAAGATGTAAACTGTACTGACAAACAATCCTAATGGGCACAGAATCAGTTAAATACGAAGAGTAAGTGCTAGTGCTTTAGAGTGCAACAGAGTGATTACAGCTAACACTCATTTGCTATATATTTCAAAATAGCTAGAAGAAAAGATTTTGATTGTTCCTGAAATAGCACAATGATAAATGTTTGGGGTGATGGCTGTAATAATTACTCTGACTTAATTATCACATACTGTGTACATTTATGGAAAAATCGCATTATGCCCATAAGTAAGTACAATTATTATGTATCAGGTTTATTTATTTATTTATTTGGTACCAGCAATTGAACTCAGGTCCTTGTGCTTGCAAGGCAGGCCACCGAACCGCTGAGCTAAATCCCCAGCCCTGTATCAGTTTTTTAAAAAAGGAATTCCACTCATGGCCTGTGTTTTGGATTCAGTCGATGGGCAACAAAATCAGTGAACAAAATAGAATTCGTAGATTAAAGTTTTTAAAAATGTGGTTCTAGCAAAAGGAGAAGAGGAAAGGGGAGGGGGAGAAGAAAAGATCCTGCAGAACACGGTGGGGAGAGAAGACAGAGGGAACAATTTATTAGTTACTAGGGAACGCTCAGCACTTGCTTCTGACAGTCCCAAAACCTATGTAAGGGAGGTGATCTCCCCAGTTTGTAGAGAAGTAAACAAGTTCACACCACTGAGGTGTGAAGCACAATCCTTTATACTCAGGATGGCTGACACCAAGACCTGTTGTTTTAACCCCACCGCACTGGAAAAGCTAGCTCTGGATCAAGAGGAGGGTGCTGTGATGGCAGAACTTTAAGGTGATCTCTAATCAATTTCAAGTTCTGTCATGTTATCCTGGTGACGTGTAGGGACAATGACATAAGGCCATAACTAAACAAGATGTGCCACCTTAATGATCTTGATCTATTTGTAACATAACACAACGAAATTTTATGGTGAATTCGTACCCCCACGTTCTAGTCCCCCTACCACACCACATGTATACAAGCCACATACATAGTTCCTTTAATTCAGAAAACTTTGAGAGAGCTTCAGTTCTATGAACTTTCAGTCTTCTGTGTCCATGTGAATCGAACCTACTTATCTACTTTTGGAGTTTTTGTGTTTTTTTTTTTTTCTTTCTTTGAGACAGGGTCTCACTATGTAGTTGAGACTGACCTAGAACTCACTAGATAGCCCAGGCTGGTCTCAAACTCACAGTGATCCTCCTGCCTTAGCCTCCCGAGTGCTGGGATTACAGGTGAGTGCCACCATGCCCCGCTACTTTCGGAGTTTAGAAAACTCTGGAGTTAGGGTGCGTATGTGATTCTTAAGTGCTAAGGTAAGGCCTTTCAGCCAGCCAGGAGCTTTCGTCTCTCCTCACTTGCATGAGGAGTTCTTGCTTACAACAAAGAGCCACACCCCATGATTCCTTATTTAATGAACTTTTATAATTGCGACAAAGACAGGAAAATAAGGAGAAATTGTTTTGAAGGAGAGAGTTTAGGAAAGAAATGAAAATGTTTTCTTTTCTCTGTGCTAGATTTAAAAAAAAAAAAAATCCTAACAGCTGAAATTTGGTACTCGTGGTTTTGAAGAATAAAATTCCCAAGGCTTTGTGTTGGACTTCTGTAAGTCTCTCACCTGGCTGCCATCCTGCCGTTGGCTCAGAGCTCTATCACAGCTGTTCACCTCTTCATATCCCCAGTTGAAAGTAACAGTAGTTGAAAAACCACCTCCGACACCACCTGTAGATAAACATCTCAATAGCAGGGCATTACACACCTGTCATCCCAGCACTCAGGAGGCTGAGGCAGGAGGATCACTGTGAATTCGAGACCAGCCTGGGCTATATAGTGAGTTTCAGGTCAGTCTCAACTACACAGTGAGACCTGTCTCAACCCCCCCCCCGCCAAAGATAAACATTTCAGAAATGAAGCACTTTTAAAGTGGAGTATGGATAAGATCTTCCTTCATTCACCTTTCTCAGGAATTATATTATGTTTCCAGGGGAGTTTAGATTTGAGAGACCTTTCCAAGGCTCTTCTTAGCTGCTTGGAGTCCAAGGGTTTCATAAGGTTGAAGAAAGTCATTCTGGAAGACATAGGAGGACACATGAAGCCCAAAATGCCCATTTGCCTCCTCCCTTTTTTCCTGCCTGGGCAACATTTTCCGGTTACTTTTCTGGGTTGTTCCTAAGCAAGTAGTTCTTTGTGTTTTACTGCCCAGGCTTTCTAAGTAAGCAGCAAAGCCATTTGCTTCAGAAAGAAAATGTTCACAGGATTTCTTTCTCCTTGGAAAATCACTTGCAAGCTTAAAGTTTGGATCCTGCCTCCTGTTCATAAACGCGTTTGAACGTCTTGCAAGTGGATCTGTCCACCTTCCCTTCAGTTCTTAGTTCACACCCTTCTTAGGTTCTGATTTCAAATCGCTTAATGAGGGCGCTAATGAGAACCTAATCAGGCTGCTAATGAAGTAGTTGACAGCTCAGATCAATTAAGGAAGGAAAAAGCGTCGGTGGCCTTTTGTTTGTGCCTTAGACTGGAGATGACATTCTCTTTTTAATTGCTCTGAAACAGGCGTTGCTGAACGAATCAGACTCTGTCCTCCACGCTTGGCTCCTGGCCACAGTGCCCGCCCCGGCCGGAAGTTGCACTGCAGCAGAGGGACAACTTCGGACGTCAGACAGCAAGGTTTTTCTTTCTTCTGTGCCTTACTTATCCTTGCAAGGGGATTGTGCCGTGCACCAGTTCCTACTCCTGAGCACTGAGCCTCAAAGACAATAGCTATAAATCCCACTAAGCAGAACTGTTAAACTAACATGCGTCCCTTAATGCATATTTATTTATCTCTGAAAAAGTAGCAGGGACCATTGAAAACAGAAAGTTTTGTGACAGTGTTTCTTCCCTTTCTGTGCTAATCTGAATTTTGGACTCTAGACACAGAACTCTAGATTTTGATTATCTTTTTAACATAAATTACAATAGTGGGCATATTCTTCCATTGTAGGCGTTCCACAGTGCAACATGGAGTCGCTTTCTAGGTTTCAGTCATTTCACGCAGCAGGTGAGGGCCGTGGTGACATTAGGCCTGCCTGCAAATAGAACAGAAGGGCCTGATGACAGGCACCAGACGGCGAGACACAGAGGAAAACGGGAGGGCAGGGAGAATTGGGATCTGTACAGTGAATGCTTAAAAGTGCCAGAAAGTAGTAGATGTATATTTGAGTAGTTTAACAAAATGTTTTAAAAATACACACCAAGCACCCATTGTGTATATGTCGGGCACTGTGCTGAGCCTGGGTCATAGGGCAGTGAAGAAAATATGACTCTTTGGAAGACAGGCTGTAAACAAATGCAAATAAATGAAAGTGTGCCCGGTGCCGCGGAAGATAAATCTTGAACACTGCAGGTATGTCCTGCACAGGCACTGCAGACTTCTCAGGGATTGAAGTAGAAGCTGAAAAGTGAAGGTCAGGTAAGAGGTGGTTGGGAAAGAGGGCAGTGCTGGCCTAGCGCAAGATGACGTGAGTGGGCGGAAGGAGCAATACTGTTCCAGGAGCTAAGAAAAGTCCCCTGTGCTGGAGCAGGGAGGAGGGAAGAATTGCGGGAGTTGAGCCTGGAGAGGTGCCCAGCCTTTCAGCCATTCAAAGATTTTAGAATTGAAGGGAAAGGGGACTCGTTTTAAGATTTTTAAGGAACGTATTCTTACGATCAGATTTGTGACTTTTAAGTATCTCGGCAGCCATGAAGGAAACGGATTATTAGAGGTTTGGGTAGGAGATAGAGGATCATCAAGGAGGCTTACGTTGTTACCAAGTGAAAGTCAAAAGTAGCCTGAACTAGGGTGCTGATGTTGGGGATGGGATCAGGTGGGTGGATTTGAGAGAGGGTCACAAGATAGAATAGACAAGAATTTGTAGCTACTAGAATGTCGGGAATGAGGAAGGAGGACTCGGGGAGATCTCCTAAAGGTGCAGCTTTAGGAAACTGAGTTTGTGGTGAGCCTGCTTGCTGAAAGTAGCAGTGATGAAGACAGAAGAGAACGGGGTTAGGGTGGGCTGGGTATTTAGTTTGAGGCAGCAAGTGGCTATGTTACAGAGGGCAGTGGGATGGGTGGACCTGGAGCGCCTAGAAGGCAGAGCGATGAAACTCTTGGCCAAACCACAAGGCTATCGACCCAGGGCTCTGTGAACTTCCCCTGGGGAGGAGAGAGCCTGATAGGAGGCCCGAGCCATGGCGGAGCCCCGAAGAATTCCGACATTAATGGTGTCTTAGATGAGGGTGAATCAGGAAAGAGCAAAGGAAATCAAGAAACTGCTGCCAGAGACAAGAGGAGAAACCTGGAAAGGACCCACTGTGTGTGTGTGCGTGTGTGTGTGTGTGTGTGTGTGTGTGGCTAATTTTTTTTTTCCACGCTGGGCGGTCTTACCCAAGCCCCCCCACATACTGCAGGAACACTTTACCACTGAGCTGTGCTCCCAGCCCAAGGCTTTCTTCCAGGAGATTGTCGTGAATTGATAACCACTTCAGAACAGAATGCAGTGGTTTTAGGAAAAACAAAACACAAGAGGTAACAACTGCCTTGACAGTAGTCTTCTGTAGATGACTCGGAGAGGTGGAGGCTGGGCATGAGACCTGGCCAACAGCCTTCCTCTCCTTCCTCAGCCACACCTCCTCAAGCCCCCTGAGGAAGGATTCTGGGACAGCCCTGTCCTAGACAAAGCCACCTGGCCTAAGTGCAGTGCTCCTCTGGGGTAGAACGACCTTGGAGTCTGTTCTAAAGCTGCCAACCACAGTGCCAAACTGGAGCTGCAGCTCCTTTTGCCTAGAGATCATTTCTGGATCACCCCAGTTTAGAAAGTATCCTGCAGCCGTTTAGGACAGCCTTGTTCTTCTCCATAAGTGCTTCATGATCTCTCCATCCTCAGCTTGGATATTTATTTAATGAGTCTTTCATGAAATTGATCGAAGCTGATCCTGCCTCCCAGGGCTGCTCCTCCCCTTGACTGTGCTTGTGGCCCTCATTTCACTGACTCCTCGGTGATCTGTTCACACACCTTCCTCTCCTGCTAGACTTTGAGTTTCTCAAGGGCAGAAGCCAGGTCTTTACATCTTAAAGCTGCGATAATACCTGATACCGTGGGCTTGTCCCTTAAATGTTCGCTGCATTGAATTAAACTACAATGAATCAAACCTGGAAGGGAACTCAGTCTGCGATCCCTCTGGAATCTGGACTTGTGATTTCCAGGCCAATTTTCTTAGGATGCTGTTTTCAGTGCTCAAAAGCCCCCCCAAAGAGCTCACAGCACTGAATAAATATGTAAATGTTGGAGAAAAAACACCCTCCTCTGCAAGCTGTGGGTGGCTCTTGCTGGTTTAAATGGTGCTATCTCAGTATCACCCACCAGGCCCACGGCATAAAGTGACGTTCTTTGGAGTCACTTTTCTTAAGCACGAGTGCGATTCTCTCCTACTTGGCCTCACCACCTGTCATGGTTCTGGCTCCTTCACAGATTCTCTGTCACTTTTAATTTTTACCTTCAAAAAGGGGCTGCTTCTCACATTTTTTAGTGCAAATACTTTGTTTGTTTTTAATCTCCTGTTACAGGATTTGCTCCAACAATGGTTCCAACATAAAGGCTCTGGGGAGTTTGTGTGGAGAAGGGCTAGGAAATCCCTCGGGGGAGCGGGAGGGACAGTAAAATTGGCCTCTCTGCCTGGGAGACAGAATAATGGTTCTTTTTTTTTTTGAAGACTAGTTGAAGAGGAACTGTAGAGAGCCATCCTCCAGTGTGAAAGCCACAAACACTCCTCTTTCTCTGTTAGGGGCAGCAGTGCTCTGACCATTGATGTAGAAGTCGGCTGAAGGTCTGAGAAGCTGGCTGTTCACTTCTGCCTTCCACTCACCATTTTCCTACATCAGTTACTGGTTTCCCTTTCTATGGTCTCCTCTCAAACTACACCACCTCCCAGCTCAGGGACGAGAGCTGTCAGCTTGCTGATTTTGTGGAGGCCACAGAGAAAGCCGGGGAAGAACAAGAGCTCCGGACTCAATCCTGTGTTTCAACCCCGGCTCTGTGTGTAATCTTTCAACCTCTTGGAACCTCAGTTTCCTGCTCTGTAAAAATGGAGCTAACGATGCCCTCCCTGCAGGGCAGTTATGAAGACTCCTGAAAATATGGGTAAGGCCCCCGTGGCAGAGTGCTTGGCCCATGTAATCACCCAATATACATTTGTTGTTAATTAAAACCAATGTTTTTTAGGTGAGATCCTTACAGTTTCATTTGCTTTAATTGTGGTTGCACATCCCAAATGGGACAATTGATCCATCTCTCCAGCACTTTCACAGAAGTGTCTGGGGCGATGAGTGGTTTGCTGCTCTAATTCCTATCGTGATGTTTATTGATGAGATTCCTCTTTGAAAGATAGATTCCTGTAGCTGAACCACATCCAAAGAAAGAAGCCTGCATTGCTGTATGTATTTTGTCTGTTTTTTTTTTGTTTTAAACATATGTATTAATCTGTCAAAATAAAAAGAAAAAACATGTTTAACCAATGGGGGCCTCTGGGCTAATTGAGCCTGGATTCTGTAGCTACTCGGGGTATCCTTGGTAACTGTTTGGGCAAGAGCTGTGCTTTCCCAGAGCTCTGCTTGCAGATGGAGGACACAGAAAGGTTAGACTTCCGAAGCTCTTTGTGCCTGTCAGCTCCTGTCTGTAGGCAGTCTGTGCTCTTTAGAGAGCCTTTTGAATTATAAGGAAAGTGTGGGTGGCCAGATTCCTTCTCTTGAATAACAATATTATACTTTTTAAACTAATGTCTGGTCTTGATTAAATAGCTCTCTGGTTAAGTGGTGGCAGATAACACAGTATCTTAACCCTAGTTTAAAAGCACCCTTAGGAGCTTTCTCTTTCTTTGTATTTTTTTTTTTTTTACTCCAGAAACTGTCACTTTTCTATTCTCAGCCCTCGCTGGCTGAGCTGAGCGCTGCCCCTCGAGTGAGGCCATTAGCTACACGAACTACAGTGATTAGACTCTGTCTTTCTTGCAGGACCGAGTATTCGCCGAATTGGAGTATTTGTTTCAGTACGACCTAGTTGCACTTGAGAGTACATCCTAAGGAAACAATTAGAGACACCAAAATGCTAAAGAAGTTCATGTCAGCATTATTCATAGTAGGAAAACGCTGGAAACACCGGAAATGTCCAGCGATGAGATGGGTGAGCGCATCATAAGGTGGGAGTGTTATACGGTTATTAAAATTATATTTTTGAGCAGTTTTTAACAGAAGGTGTGGGACAATGTTGACGATGTAATGTTAAAGTAGGACATAAAATTGCGTGTGGAGCTTGATCTTGACCTAAGTAAAAAAGATATACAGATGGAAAGATGAAAGGAAAATTACCAAGCCGATGATTGTACAAAAATTGTTACTTGGGCACGGGACTGTAAGTGATGTTTATTTTATTCCTTATATTTTCTTAAATTTTTTAAGTTTTCACAATACACATAATTTATGTAAAAATGTTACTTAACGAAAGCGAAGACAAAAATCTCATAGGTTCAGGATGGTGATATTGGTAGAACCTTTAAATTAGAAATTGGTTTTGAGTGGCAGCTGTTGGATATTAATGTTTAGCACTTATATAACACATCGTGGGAGGTTTCTGAAGCATTTTATAGCACCTGAGCTCATTTTCATACCTTTCCGGGGTGGCAGGCAGCAGGAATCATAATGACTTTATGGATAGAAAAGGGGGCCGCAGAATGCACCCCGCATTTTGTCTCTGTGATGTTTTAGACTGTGAAATTGGGCCCAGCTGGGGACATGGTAGCACCGTTCTTCACCCATCAAAGCATGATCACTTAGGGCCGCCGCCTGCCTTGCAAGTGAAAGGTCCCGAGTTTGATCCCCAGTACCAAAAACAAAAAAAACAGCACAGATATTTAGGATGGGCAGATAGTTTAGGAAGAGGAAACTGAGGTGGGACAGCACACCAGCCTGGGAGTTGCAGAGTGAGCTCCCTCTGCTTGCTGTTTAGGATGGAAGATGTTTGAAAGAAGATTTTTAGTTCAATATATAGCAATATTCCTGCCAATGAACAAAAGGGGGAGAAGTCCCTGGGCTGTTACCCATTAGACTGGAGACAGGTAGGACAGGTGACCTGATGACAGCCAGCAGACCAGACTGAGCTTGCATTCGCTGCCTGACTGCAGTTCCTGGTGCTCTTGCACTCCTGTAATAGTGAGACTATTGGAGCCCCTCTACTGTAAACCCCTCTCCCGTCTCCTCAGTATCCGGGCTACTTGGTGCCTCTAGCACACACCAGCCCATCTGTGCTAACTTTCAAATGGAGGGCTCAGGGCATATTCTTCCTTGAAATAATAAAAGAATTCTAAGCTTCTCTTCTTCCCGATTTTCTGATGTGGTTTTCAAGGTGGCCACAGTCCAGATTCAGAGGAGGAAAATACACATATTCCCCAACAGTCACCATCTGTGCTATTTTTATCAGCACTTCACTGAGGCTGAATTTTTTTCCCCATAGTACCCAAGAGTTTGCAGGGATTCAAGAAAGGCAAGTAATAATGCGATGATGACACATTTAGAGTTAAATAGATAGGTAGACTCGTATGGAAGTTTTCCCTTTGGCTAGTTGACCCCTCTTTTCTCCAAGTGTAAATGGAAGGTAACAGAAAGCAATAAGAATGATATAGTATAGGCCGGGTGTCGTGGCGCACGCCTGTAATCCCAGCACTCGGGAGGCCGAGGCAGGAGAATTGCTGTGAGTTCGAGACCAGCCTGAGCTACATAGTGAGTTCCAGGTCAGTCCCACTACATAGTGAGACCCTGTCTCAGAAAACAAAACAAAAAAAAAAACCCAAAAAACAAAAAACAACAACAAAAAGTGATATAGGATAGCTCTACTAATCAGGGTAAAATATGCCATACCATGTAACAAATTGGGAAATAACAGTAGTTTAGCACAGTGGAAATTGATTTTTTTGTTTGTTTATGTGCATTATCTGGGCCCTCCTCCATCTGACCCTGGGATGCAAGTTTCTTGTATCTTGAGTTATCATCATCTTAACATATGGCCTCCAGGGTCACTGAGGCAGTGAAGTAACTGCTAAGTAGGCCATGAGCTAACTCTTTAACATGGTGTCCAGTGATGGCACGTTAGCTCCACTCATGTTTTTTTGGATCGAGCTAGTCACGTGGATTTGCTTAACTGCAAAAAGACTAGAAGATTAGGAATGCACACAGGCTACCAAGTTACCCCTGCATGTCTCTGCCACCTCAAACACTGAGAACTTCCTACGTGCTAGGCACCGTGCTCAACACAACATATCTGATCTCTTTTGTGAGAGTCGCCTTTCCATTGCTGTCATAAAATTCCCAAGAAAAATCACTCAAAGGAGGAAAGATTTGTTCTGGCTCACAGTTCAGAGGTTTCAGTCCATGGTTGCCTGGCTCTACTGCTATGGGCCTGTGGTGAAGCCGAACATGGTGGTCGGAGTGTGTGATGAAAGGGGCTGCTCACCTCAAGGCGGCCAGAGAGAGAGAGAGAGAGAGAGTCCAGGGATGAAATATATCCTTCGAATGTACAGCCCCAGTGACTTACTTCTTCCAGCTGGACCCTACCACGTGAAGTTTCCACCACCTCCCGATAGTAGCCCAGCTGGGGACCAAGCCTTCAACACACGAGCTTTTGGGAAACATTTCCGATCCACACTCTTAACACCACTTAATCACAACCTTATGAAGTAATAGCTGATATCTCCATTATACAGATGACAAACTGAGCCAAAGAAAGCTTAGGGAACTTGCCAGTGTCTCATAGCTACCAAGTAATGGGGTCAGGATTGAAGCCAAATTGTCTGGCTCTGGTGCCTGAGTTCTCAACCTCTGTGCACTTGTTGCCTCCCTAATAATACCTCTCTTGGAGGGATTTCTGTAAAATTATAGGTGATGTAAATCCAACCCTTGATAGGCAGGGTCTGACGTGGAATAGTTACTCGCAGATGGCAGCTATGTCTATTCTTATTGTTGTTGGCTACCTCAAGTCCTTTGTGACTCAAGGCAGAGTATAAATAGATGATGATGTGATAAAGCTTTATTAAAAGGTATCTCTTTTGTCCTAGCATCTGGGGTTGCAAGGATCGCATTAATATAACCTTACAGAGAAGTATCGAGTAATTACCCTGATGCTGAAGTATTTTAGTAAGTCAGGCCCATTCTTACCCTGTAATGGCACGAAAGCAAAGTCTACGTTTTAATTACTGGCCTGCTATGTCTCATTACTGGTATCTGCAAAGCTGCAGTGAGCAAAGTCTAAGGACACAACAGTAGTTTAGGTTGTATTTGTTCTAATTAAACATTAGCACCAATCTTGACTTGTTTGGCAAGTAGTTAAAGCAAAACTACTGTGTTGTAAAGCTAACCTCTTTGTATACCCAAAAAAGAAAAAAAAAATCCTTATCTCTCCTGCCATGAGTTAATTGATACCACTCCTGCTCCTTCTCAGGAAGGCTCAGCTGCTAGAGGCTGCCTGCTGTGTGGCTGAGTGAGCAGGCAAACCACCCTGAAAGGGGAGCAGCTTTGGATTCTCTAGATGGCATAGACCCGTGAAGGGTATCATCGAGTCTGCGGAAGGAAGGGGGCAGTCAAGGCTGTGCACAAACCAGTGTGATTGCAGTGGTCAGCGCCACTTGAGATGGAAGCAACTGCCTGTGCCTGAGAGATGTTTACTTCTTTCTTACACTGGGAATCGAGGGAGGGGTGTTGGAAACTGGGCACAGCTTCTTTTCACTTAAGCTCAGTTTTTCTTTTCTTCTAGAAAGACCCAGGGCCTTGTACATGCTCGGTTAGTGCTGTACCACGGAGCTACTCCCCCAGCCCAAGGAGTCCAATTTCTGCTATAGATAGCAGTTCAGTATGTGACAAAGAAGAAGCACTCCTAGGAATCTCCCACTCACTAAAGTGTCCAGTGTAAGTAAGGTGCTGTGCTCAGCAATGAGCTGGGATAGAAAGATAAGGGGATTTTTGCCCCATCCAACCACACACAAATAGGTAAACAAGGAGCTATGTGAGACCAACCTTCAAAAGTGCCAATGAGAAGCACCCAGAGGAGCGTGGAAGGGTTGATTAATTCTAAGAATGGAGCTCAGGATTGCTGCTCATGCACGGGGCTGCCTCAAGGCCATCTGTTCTAATCAAAACCCCAGGTATTGACCGTTTCCGAGAACCAAGTAACTCAATATTGGGTACTCTGATTCCCAGCATCATTTGCCTTTTAACTGAGTGTCATTTTGAAGTATTCTTGGATTACGTTTGGACAGTTTTGGCACTGGAAATTATGTCAGCCAGATATTGGATAAAAATTTGGGAGGTCTTTTTTTTTTAATAAAAAGAAATATTCTGTGAGATAACATGTACTTAATGACTACAATGATATAAAATGCCTGTCTATGGGGCCAGCATATGCATGGTAGAGATAGTTATTTTATAATGGCAAGATTATAAATTAATTTATGAAATATGTTTTCAATATCGTATTACCTCCAATTTAAAAGAACAAGCAGTCATTCTGTTATAGGCCAAATATTACATTTTAAAAATCAATTGGAAAGGCATCAGTGGTGAGGTTTAGAAAGGGAATCTTTAAAATAACCCAAGGATAGTCACATTTCATTGAACGTCTGGTCTTTGGAAATGGGCTTCAGAATAGAGACACAGTTTTAGGGGAATGTAGGAAGCATTTTAGAAGTCAGTGTGTCTGGGTAGTTAGGGATTAGCTATTGATGTTCTTCAAGCATCAGAGAAAAGCTAAGAACACACTAAGAAGAAAAAAATCACCCATAATCATACAAATGCTACAAGTCAAACAATCTTTCTTTTTGTTCCTTACACTCTAATATTTACCCGTCTACATACAAAAATTTAATATAACATTAGATATTTTATTCCATTTCTTTACCTCCACAAATAAATATAGGTGCTTTTAACCAATACTGTATTGTTTCAAATACTCAACAAATGATTAGCTGAGTACATTTTAAAACAGGGCTATTCTGGAACATTTGTTGACTTGAACTATTTGGCTTGCTTTTTTAAAAAAAATCGAAATTATAGCTAAAAGGAAAGAGATGTCAGTCTTGTCACCTTCCACTTGAACAGAGATGAGGAAAGGTGATGGTCACAGAGGACCTGGACTGCCACCCTCAGGAAGGCGTGGCAGACTCTGCAGCACAGGGCCCTACAGTTCCTGCTGGTGCTTCAGAGCCTTTGATTCTACAGGGTTGACCCTCTAGAAAGCAGAGCTCCAAGAGGAGACCCAGCTCAGTCTGGGTCAGAATCCTCCGGGCCCTGGTCCTGCTGACACAGGCACTTCCTATGCAGCAGGGAGCAGTGCTGTGCTGTGGGTTTGGATCCAGGGCCTGCCTCCAGGAACCTACTGCTTTGATCTTAGAATTGTCCTTTTGAAACGAAACTGCCTTTTGAAGTTTAAGCTCCTTACCGTTTCCCGTTCCGCCCTAATTTACCTGCAGAGCCTGACTGCACCATGTTGGCCTGGTCAGCCTCCTGGGCTGCAGGGGTTGTGTGCCTGGCCAAGTGGAGCCAGCAACACCCAACCGTGGGACTGTTTGGGGCCCTAGCCTGCCGCAGTTAGGGGCACAGTGCCATCTAGTGGAAAGAAGAAAAAAGCCCCCATTTACTTTTTAATTCGTGAAAAACCATTGAAATAGACTGTCACCTGTTCTCATTTGAGAACTTTGGATTTAACAAATCCAGAGAAAAATGAATTTCTTTCTTTTTATTTTATTTTTTGGTATCGGGGATCAAACTTGGGACCTTGCACTTGTGAGGCAGGCAGCGGCGGCACCACTGAGCTAAATCCCTGTCCAGCATGAATTTCTTGAATGCCACACAGCTAGCCATTATCTGCACTGGTGATGTAGACCCTCGTGATTTGAGGCTTGGTTTAGCATTCTTGGAAATGTACCACGGTAAAGAAAATAGAAGGTGAAAAAGTTTCTGAAATCAGTTGATTGGCATTTCAGCAATGCTGGATCCAGTGCCTAAAGAAGAGACAACAGTCATTTACTGTTCTGTAGAATGCCTTGGCTTGCTCGGGCTGAGGGGTGCAGGGCCAGAGCAAGTTCAGCTGCCTGCCCCCCACCCCTCTGTGCTCTGACTCAGCACAAGATAGGCCCTGTGAAGGCCCCTGGGTTAGGGATCAGAAGATGCCCTTGTGCCCGAGGGTAGAGAAGGGAAAGAGCGGAGGGTCACAGCCCAGCCTTTCCCATGTACTCCTGCCTGAGGAAAACAATGAGCCTCTGGTCTCAGTCCTGCCTCCTCTACTTCTTAGAAACCTCTGCAGCCCTGACTTCCTCGTACTCACCGTGCATAGCCGCCCAGATCCCAGACAAGGAGTGGGGCCGGCATTCTTGTTTCCTGCTCTCTGCTCTCTGCAGAGTGTATGATCTTGAATAAGCCAGGCTGCCACAAGGAAGAGCGCAGCGCTCGTCCTTTCCAGGCAATCTGCGGCTAAGAGGGACGGTACATGCACTGGGTGGACTGGTGCCCACCACCGCCAGGGGGAGCACACTGCATTATTCAGTGACAGTTTGAGGGGTGGAGGGAAAGGTTAAAGCTGATGCTTAGCATCATCCCTTCAAAATAAAATCTGAAATGTTGACTTGAAACATAAGGCCGAGTTTTGGGATAAATCTTAGTCTGGTCCCTCCTGCCTATCCTAAAACAGTGAAAGGCTTTCTGAGCTTGTTCTCTCCCCTTGACTCCTGGAGCCTTCATCTCAGCAGGAAAGGTGGGCCCATCTTGCCTTAAACCCATGATTGCTTGCAGAATGTGAAGCGGTGGATTTGCATACGAAGGGCACCCTGTGAGCCTTTCAACTTAACTCCTCTGATTTCATAAAAAATAAAACCGCTTAGAGTTCAGGGAATTTTATTATTATTATTATTATTGATATGGGGGATCAAACACAGGACCTTGTACTTGTGAGGCAGCCAGCAGTACCACTGAGCTAAATCCCCAGCCCCTAGTTCAGGGAAATTTTAAGGTTCTTTGTTTTTCTGTCCCTGAAAATCTGACTCAGGGGCTTTTGGGGATTGGGATGTTCTAAAGCGGCCAAGACTTGACGAAATTGTCCATACGCAGGGGCCTTGCAGGTTCTGTTTCACTCATTCTTTGGCCTCTCCATAGTCACTGGCCTGCTCTCCAAAATTCCTCCTATTCCTCCCCCCGCCTCCGGATTTAGCTCATTGGTTCCGCCGCCTGTCTTGCAAGCACAAGGTCCAGAGTTCGATCCCCGGTACCAGAAGCAAAGCAAAATTCCTCCTCCTCTAGTGCACATGGTTAACTGGGCTTTGATGCAGTAACTGAGGCAGACGCAGAAACAGCCCTGGACATCCTGGAAAAGGAGTCCCAAGGAATATTTTCACAGCAGCCCATATTTCCCCACAGGAACACTGTTATAATTGGGCCACACATCTGACCAAGGAGCTGGCACTAAATGCATCTCAGAGATATCCAGCAGTGTGTCATAAAAGCCAGCATGTCCTGAAATCTCTGTGATCATTCATCAGAAGAACTCTTACAAGCCTTTTTCTCTGGATTCTGGCAGGGCCCTTGGCTTGTTACTAAGTGTCCTGAACTGAGCAGTCCCTCCCCAGCCACACCTGCCAGAACCCCTCCTTTATCCAGCCCCCACCTTGATCTTGAGGCTGTTAGCCAACGTGTCCCACATTGGCTGGCTTTTTTCTTCTCCTCACCAAATCCTTTATTACCTGACCTTTGAACAATTCATAGTTTCATATGCTGTCCTGTCGCGCTACCCCTACACTGACATAATTCGCAGCCTGATGAGCAGCCGGTGAGATTGTCATAACAGCACCTCTTCCTGCACTGTGAAACCCAGACTGTGACCGGCATGTAAGGCGAACCTCCGTAGAACACCCACAGGTTGAAGCCCTAAAAATCAACCAAATGTACCCTAAGTCCACTATGCCTTAAGGAAAAAGAGAGATACGTGGATGCATTCATTTAAAAAAGATATTTACTGGGCCGGGGATTTAGCTCAGTGGTTCTGCTGCCTGCCTCGCAAGTGCAAGGACCAGAGTTGGATCCCTGGTACCCGCCTCCAAAACAGATATTTACTGAGTTCTTTCTGTGTACCAGGTACTTTCCAAGGCACTCAAGATACAGCTGTGGATAAAACTGACAAAAATTCCTGCCCCGTTGGAGCTCCGGAGCCATCAGTGGCATTTGTGTGATGGATGGGAAGAGCATCAGCTAGAGAGAGAGGAAGCCCAAGAAGCTCATCCAGACACCTCCACTAACCAGTCAAATCACTGCTCCCCCTCTGATCCAATCTGCTTATCCAGAGGACGAAAAGGTCAGTCTCGGTCGCATGCAAGGACTCTCGGCTGCAACCACGGAGGATTCTTTGGTTTCGTGGCCAAAAATGTGGAGCTTCCAGCTTTTCCCTAAAAGGAGCATTTAAGCCAGCTCCCCTGTCTGCCTTTACAACTCTTTTCTGCTTTGATTATTCTTTGGTCTTAAGAAAGAAAGAAGTATAACCCTGCCTGCCTTCCCTCTTGTTCTCTTAATATCCTCCCTTCCCTGTTTCTATGGGATCACAAACATTTTCCAAGAACGGCTAAATGACCCATTCTTCAGAGTGACCTTTGTGGGTGGGCTTCCTCTTTGGGGTCACTGTGATACCTTTGGGGGACATCTGTTCTCTTGAGTATGCTCAAGGAATTGGTGGAAAGATCACAAGGAGGGACTCAGTACAGTTGGCGCAACAGAACCACTGGAAACCAATTAACCGGCTGAAAAACCAGAAGAAGGATAGTGGCCAAAGAACAGGCCCCCCGTGGTAGACAATTACCAGTGTGGGCAGGGATGGCGATGTAGGTCAGCTCTCAGCCAGGAAATAGTTTTACAAGTGCAAAATGTGAATCTCTCCCAGAAGCAGAATCTAGGTAAAGGTTTTCTTTCTATATTTGGGCAGATGACCACCTGGTCACCCTGCAACTCCCCTTGCTTTTTGAGACAGCTGATCTTGTCTTGGCTGCTACCTCCCCTCTGTAAAGAAACAGCTCTAGGCCTTTCTAACTTTGACCTTCTGGCTGATGACCATGAGAGAGGAGACCAGTTATTGCCTTGTAGGCTGGGGGCCTGGGTTCCAGAAAGCCCACCTCCTATTGCACTCCTATTGCTGCTGATTTCTGAGAGAGGGAGGGAGCAGAGGGGGGAGGGAGGGAGAGAGAGAAAGAGGGGAAGAGAGAGAGAGAGAGAGAGAGAGAGAGAGAGGTGAGCTGTGATAGATCCTTTTTTGTTTGATTGTTTTTGAAAGCACACCCTTCAGCACCTACAGTGCTTGTAGAGACTTTTACCACTTTTAGACAAGTGTTTAGGGAACCTGGAACTAAGATCAACTGGGCTTTATTTTTATTTTGGCAGGGATTTGAGTTTCAGGTCTAGTTGGTTATGAAATCAAGCTCTATAGGTCCTTTAATGCTCACTTCCAAGGCTCTGGGCAGTAAGAGCTACCATGACATTCAGCTGCCTGACTCGACATGGGACAGACTCTTACGGTTCCTGAGAGTGGCCTGGCGTTTATTCTCTTCCTTTGCTCTTCAGAACAGTTTTGGGAGGTGGACAGGGCAGGTGTTAATACCTGCACTTTGCAGATCAGGAAACTGAGGCTCACAAAGGCTCAGGGCTTGCACTTCCTAAGCTTGTACACAACAGCCAAGACTGGGGTGCGGGCAGTGAACCCCGAAGCTGGGGTCGTCCCCATGCTGTGCTGTGTCTGGGTCATCCTCTGTCAGGGCCCTGCTCACACAGGGCAGTTGTACTCATGAAAACTTCTTTCTGGGGTTCAGTTATTACACACTGTAGGAAACACACAGGACTTGATCACAGTCATAGGAAGTTGATGATGCATTTCTTGGCAGAGGCATTGGGCTTTCTGGGTGCCATCTTCCCCAAGAGCCCAGAGCCACAGAATCCTGTTGGGCATTTTTCTATGCAGCTTCTGACTCTGCCTCAGTAAGAAAAGAGAGAAACTTCATCTTCTAAATGTCCACGGCTCCTCTGAGAAGCGAGGGGCTGCCTTTTTGCAAGTCCTTTAGAAGCTCTACCCAGGGTCCCTGCTCCGGTGCCTCTTTACCGAGAGGCTGCTTCTCTTGCTGACACACTTTGGCCTCTGGATTACATAGGAGTGTCACCAAACTTCACATTCACCACACATGGGGCAGCTCCCTGGCCTGCTGCCCTAGCAATAGTGGGAATTTCTGTTGGCCTTTTCATAAAAGAGCAAAGAATTCTCATCCTCAACTTAGCAACACAAACCTCCCTCCATGAGAAACACCTGCTCACGGCTAGTCACACATCCTGTCTTAAAATGGTCCTCGAGAAAGTTTGCAAAAGCAAAGTCATCTACATTCCTTCTGGTGTTGGTTTGCTTTGCCAGCTGAGTTGTCTTTCTAAGGGAATAACAGAGAATCCTGCTTTGACCTATTTTGGACCAGTTGGACCAGCTGTAGCTCACACTGTCCCTCACCTTACCCCCTAAATATTGTAGTAAATGCTTGTCATGAAACAGCTTTCAAGGCATTCTGTAGGCCTAATTATGGAGGGGTAAATGCTGGGGGTGAAGGAATTCATTGTGTGCCTGTAGGAGTTTAATGTCTTTTTTAAACCAGGAATTGAGAAGTGTGACTAATGAGCACACTGTAAAAGCCACAGACCACCTCATTAAATGTTAGAGCCATTTCCCGGGTTGGGTAGAAATGAAAATCCTCAAAGAAAGGCCACCTCATCAATTAATGAAGAATTTTTTTTAAGTGTGGAAAATATTCAGCAGACATTTCTGGTAGATAAAGAGCATTTACCAAAGAATTAAAAAAAAAAAGCCACCAATTTCTGATGGCCTGGGGAAGGATGAGAGAGGTGAGGGATCTCTGCACCACGTTCTCTGGTATCCAGGAGCGGCTGGCTGGTGATTTCAGGATTCTGGTGGTTCTCAGCTATTTCTCTCTTCCCTGCAAGGGCCCTTTTGTCCCTTTTGATAAGTTTTGCTTATTTTTCCAGAGCCCACCACTAGTGTTGCTGTACAGTTCAAAGAGAGAATTCACAAAAAGCTCAGTGCCTGGTGCACAGCAAGGGTTTGGGACATTTGCTGCCCGGTTATATAACAGCATCAGGGGAGGAGATGTGTCCTTCTGTGAGTGGGGAAGTACAGGCAGAGGGCAGGGAGAACTGTTGCCCTTGGCCACTGCAGAAGGCCCCATCTGCTTTGGAGCTGACCTTGGGCAGTAGGAGGAAGCCCAGGCTGTGCTTCCATGGGCTGCTGGTCAAGGCCTAAGAACTGTTCCCCTGAAGGTTGCAGCTGCAGCCTTCTCATGCATAGCAGTCTGGGTAGTGCTAGGACATCAGCACTTATGTATCCAGCAAGGATGTGGATATAAAAGCTCCAAGTTGTTCCTTAGCAAGGGCCATGTTAGTTGCTCAGAGGCTTGGAGCGTGGTCCCTCCTCTTTGCGGCAAGAGCCTTAGCTTTGCTCTCCAAACCCATGTTCGCATCCAGTTGGCCTCATTGTCACCTATCCTTACCTTTTCCAAGACCAGCTTCTGACTTGGGCCACGATAGACCCCTGTTTGAAAAATCTCTGCTGGTTCCCCTTTGCCTGCGGGGTCGAATACTCACAACTTAGCATGGTCTTCAGGGCCTCACGTCCTCTGGGAAGGACACGCCCCAGCCATCGTCCACCAGCAGGCAGGCCTTTCCTGACCTTGGGCGCATGCTCTGCCCACCATCCAGAAAGCCCTTCCTGCCTGGCAAGCTTCTGTCTCGCCATGCAGGATTTAAATGCAGGGCCTCTCCTCTCTGGGCTTCCTGTTGAAATCTGCTGTGACACCTTCATGGGCTCGTCAAGGCCATTTGTCTCCCAGACAAACGGTGAACTCCTTCAGGGAAGGCCTGAGGCCCCAAGGCCCGGTCTGGTACCTGACTTGTAATAGACATTTAATGTTTGTTGAATGAAGCCTCCGTATGTGATGCTGTGCTTTCAGCTTTGAAGGTCTAACTCAGCGGGTCAAATGTGGAGCTTGAATTGGGCGTGAGAAATAAACACAACTCTGGTGGGTTGGAGGTAGGGGTGGGAGAGTTTCTTTTCCACATCGGGCTCTTTGTGCCTTAGCTCTGAGCAGGACCCCAGGGCTTGTGACCATTGTCCTCCTGTCTCTATCTCCACACACATCTTTGTGAATGCTCTAATGTAGGCCAGGATGTCTCCTGACTCAAGAGCTGGCCCTGCGTCGAGCAGGGCTCCCTGGCCTTGGACAACAGCCCTGGGGACTGGGCATGTGCTGTTTCGGCTTCCTTTGAGGACCCGGTGTGGACATTCATACCAGAAATCATCCTGGACGTGAAAATTATGTAGTTGAGGATTGGGAGATGGTAAACACTATTAAATTGTCTCCCTGCCTTTGTAATAACCAAATGGAGAAGCACTCGGACTTAGTATTGGGATGGCCTCTAACAGGAGTCCTTGGCTGGGGGTGGGAGCCGTGGATTTCCAGATCACCCACAGGTTTTATCCCACAGATGGTGGCCGATGCTGCTGTTCCTCCCTCCTCTCCCTTACAGATTCTAAAATGCCTCCCTTCACCCTCTGTCACCTCCGTCGTGCTGTAGTCACTGAGCAGGGCTTGGCATCAGTCTGGATGTGCATCCAGCCCTCTGCTAGTGGCTGTGCAACCTTGGCAAAGTCACTCGTCCTCCGAATTCCCACTTCCTCACATGCAGATTGGAGATGATATGTTTGCTTCAGAGGGCTATCCTGAAGATCCAGTGAGATTCCATCTATGAAGTTCCTAGTAGATACCAAGGACCCGTTAATTCATCTTTCTAGACCTGCCCGAGTTTCAGCTAGAAATTTACCCCAGGTTCTGTAGAAGAAGCTGTCACAGGTGTCCACTGAGGAAGTTCTGTGGGCCCCTTCTCCCTCGGTGTAATGAAGGGCAGCTTTGGCACAGGCACACGGTCAGGCCAGAGACCAGTGAGGCCTTGGACAAAACTTTTTTCTACTGGTTGCTAGGGGCTCTACTCACACTGACACTTCCTAGCTAAGTGTGCTACAGAACGTGCCTCCTGCCTGTGGCTGGCTACTGTTCCAGAAGCGCGCCCTCCTCAGCACCCTTTATGGCCACTGCTGCCATCCGTGCAGTCACGGCATGCAGATTGGCTCAGGAGTGCCGACCGACCCCTTCCAGGACGCACACTGGGTAGCCGGAGGGGGCACTTCAGGAGAGAAAAAGAGGAAGCGTTGTTGCAGGGCTGTGCTGGCCTTGGTGGGGAGCCCTTGGTGGTCTGCCAGCTGTT